GCATGCCTTATCATACAAAAACATCTCAGTTTAATTTACTTCCACAAATAGGCAAATATATGACTCCAATGAAACAAAATGAATTCAAGTATTCTTACAGCAAACCCCAGGAGTGACACCTGGCATCAAACATCTAATCAAGCAAAGATAGGATAATTAAAAATCAGAAATAGTAAGAATTAAACAAATAAATGATCAAGATGAGTAAATAGGGGAATACCGCAGCCCGGCCTGCATTATTGGGATCTTCTAAAATAGAAGACGCAGCTTTCTTTGCATCCCTCAGGAAAGCTTTGAGCAGGGGTACAGGGGGGAACTTGTCTACAAGGCCAACTTCATAAGTGAAATGAACTGCATCAAGCTGCTGTCCCTTACCAATCAATTCTTCAATCATGTCTGTAGTGGAGAATTAAATGCATTAGAAACTCAATTTTACAATTGTACCTTAATGGAATGATTTCAAGCACAAATGGTAAAAACCCATAAGAGAGCTTCCACAAAAGCACAACAGCCCATTATACGAAATGCTTTTCAATTAAATGTTGAGCATGTTTATGGATTAAATAGTGATATAGACATTAAAAAAGACAATGAATCTTTACTTGTTAGAATTATGCAAAAGACAATGAATCTTTACTTGTTAGAATTATGCAAGCTACATCTATTTGGCTACAATACCTACACCTTGGAATTCACTCTTTTGCCAGTACTAAACTAACACAACCCTTGGCTTAATGAACAACTTGATATATATCAGATCCTATGAACATATAGCTTCCCTGATCTTAACATAAAGTTCTAGTATCTTGTTCTATTAAACCACAAAAACCAGCAGGTACACTCTTCACAACATGCAGCCCACATGTCCCTAAATGCTAAAAGTGCATCAAGATATTAGTTCTTTAAATGGTTCCACTAAAGACATACGGTATACGTTCCAAAAACAGCAAGTAACAAACACGAACCATCTCCAAAGCATGTTGGCTTACAAAAGAAAATGCACATGCTTACCAACATGTTAAGGCAACATGCAACAGCTAATGAACATCCTACGTTACAAGTCACTTAATTATGCTAGTCAACTATTGCTCCAACTCTTAATTCTTGCACAACTGCCCATGTCCAGCAAATATCTGACAGACATGCATATGGACTTTTGACTCCTCCCAAAATATCCCGTGTCAGACACATGCCTGTATCTAACACTGAGTCTCAAATATAAGCAACATAACTTATGAAATACCCAAAAATCTTGTCTTTACAACTCTTAAGTTCATGCTGAAAGTTTTGACGCCAAGATCAAATTAGTCAGACAATATAACCACTTTCAAAATACCATCACGATGAAACACAACCATCGACTCCTAGAATACTGTAATAAGCTGCAACAAGTTTGAAACTCCATGATAGTACTCACTAACAGCAAATAAAAACATTAAGAAACAAGTAATTTCATCTCAACAAAAGAAATCAAATACCAGGCATTTTGTCACCGAGGCCAAGCGAAACGGCAAGTTTAGGCATTTGTTTCCTCCAGGCAGAACCAACAACAAGCTTCCTATAAAGCTGCAGATCCTCTTTCTTAACAATCCCAAACGTAACCAAATGTTGCAAAAAAGTATGAACATCCGGAGTCTTCACATTCTCAATCCCTCCTCTCTCTTCAAGACTCTTTTTCCACGTCTCTGCGATTTCTTTTGCCTTCTCCTTCACACTCGGCGTAACCAGCATCCTCGACTTTCCGATCACCGGATCAACCACCACTGGAATCAAGCTTTCCAGAATTAAAACACAAGCCCATCCTAAATCATTTCCTCTCTCATTCCCTCTTTTATCCACCGGAAATACCTCCGATATCGCCTCCATAACGAACCTGGCCGGATCAATACATTCTGACAAAGCTGCCGGAATTTTCTCTCTTAGCAAGTCAATTTCCTTCTTTTTGCCAGTCACGAAGTTCCAGAACTCTTTAGCTTCCATTTTCAAGCACGTTGATTTTAGGAGTTGCAAAAGACCGTCTCCGTCGTCCACTTCGCCATCAGGATTGTCTTCAACGTCGTCGCTAAGGGTTTTCAGGGCGGCTTTTGTGTGGAACTCGACTCCGTCGAGTGCGATCTTCACGCTGTCCTCGATGCTGTGTTCGCGCTTCTTGAGTGAGTCGAGTGAGGCCTTGGTTTCCGAGTCTAGTGTTTCAATTTTGCGTTTTAAGGCCTCCGATTGTCTCATCAGGTTTTGCTCGAGTGAGTTGATGTGATCGGAGAGTTCTTTCCAGAGGAGAGTGCAGCTCGTCATCAGAGACGTTTGGCGCTGGAACTCGTCGAAACTCGGCTGAGTTAACTCTGTCAACTCGCCCGGATCGGGGATCGACCCCATGGTTGGAGAACTTATCTTTCTTTAACTCGTTCGGTGACTCAGTAGCTGAATCCCAAAGGAAAGAAATGAAAGAAAGAAAAGAGGAGAGAAATTAGAAACCCTAGAAACGGCCGAACACAGGAAGATAAAAAGCTTCGGCAGATGCTGACGTGGATCTTTCAGAATACGACACGTGTAATGGCGACTAGATGTCGCTGGTAATGGTGGTCTCTATCTTGGACCGGGGGTGTGTACGATAACAAGTGCGCATTACAAGGTGCTGGAGCTAAAGTGCACGGAGCTGGTGAAGGTGCGTAGGATAAGGATAAGGGGGGTGTTTGGTTGGTGTTAAAAGACAAGAGGTGGAGTGCTTTCCCGGAAACCGAAGTCAGATCAGAAAAGAAAAAGATAAGCAAACAGGGAAGGAAGAGAGAGGGGGATGGGAGGCAAAAGCTGGGGAAATAAGGAGAGGTGGGCCAGTGGGAGGGGACTGAGCATACCCACATGGAAGAGTCAGAAAAAGTAAAGACAAATTGTTATAAGAAGGAAAAAAAAATAGAAAACCATTCAGATAAATGGAAAACAGAGAGGAAGCCTGTGGTGAAGTCTGAAAATGGGAACAGGGCACGCGCATTCGTTTGTTAAAAAGGACAAATCACATCAAAGATTGTTTGGATGAGAGGAGCTGGGTAAACTTGGGGTCCATTTTTGGGTGGTGGGACCCTTTATGAGGCCTGTATACTTTTGACACGTGAGCATGAGGGCCCAATGATGTTGTTTCACAAATGGGTGGGAATTAAATATTTGGGGGGGGGGGGGGGGGGGCGGCGAAGAGTTGGTAATTGGTTCCCCAGTGGGCGTTTACTTGTGGAACATTTTTGAACCTTGGGTTGAGCTTTGGTGATAAGGTTGAAGAATTCAATAATGATGATCTTGGTTTCAATTTCTGCACTCATTTTCAAATTCAAATGTTTGATAACATGAAAAAAGGAGCATAATTTTGGATTCTGATGACATGTTGCATTTAGAATTAGTCATTTTCATGTTTTAATTCTAATAGGGAATTTTTGATTCAAGACCCCAAAAATTAAAAAAAAAAATAAAGTTGCGGAGTAACATTTGTACTTGCATTAAAATTGAAAAAGGCTGGGCCTTATTTAGGCATCATTGCGGTGGCGGCATGTGTGACAAATATAAGAATTTGTTCAGGTTCATAAGCGGGACTTAAAATGCATTATGCAAGGTGGGACTATGGATATAAAGTTGTTAATGTTGCAAGGTCTGAATTATTATATATTATGTCATGCACAATTGCCCATGAAAACAATTCCAATTGGGCAAGAAGATTCCACAGGAAAATAGTTTGGAAAAAGACACGGTGATTTTTCTCAAAATGCTACTAATTGCGTGTTGGGATACCACACGCCCATCATTTGTTTGTTCACTAACGAGACAGCCTATAAAAGTTGGGGTAACACCAACAACGCTAAGAGCCATCCCCCCCCCTCTACATACGGCTACAATGGTAGAGAGGGGTATCCCACTTTGAAGCTTTCTCATTCGCACCACAGATTCTCAATCCAAATCAATCCTCCCACCACCCCATTTTGTCAATATTTTTGTCATTAGTATTAGTTTATCTTATTTCTTTTTTAAGATAACATAAATTACATTAGATGCATGAATCCCCCCAACGACGTGACTAGATGGAAAGCTACTAATAATGTGATTCGATGATCAATATTACATGGGTTATCGTTCACAATAATCATTACAGAGAATGGAGCTTTGCATTTGCATATATTAATATTGAGTTATCAACTTCTTTACGTTAATAAAAGGATCCTATGATCCAAATACAGCCCATTGTCTACAAGCAAATCCACCTAGACGCGACTTGGCAATGAATCCTTTACCTTTATTCTCCTGGTTTGCATTATCGTTTCCCCTGATTAAATCAGACAAGAATGGAGGCCAACGCAAGGACAAAGTGAGCACAATGAATGCAAAGGATGGTATGGAGAGTACAATTACATGTGGTATTAAAGGTGACCATGTGATCTTTAGGACAGGCTTTTGCTTTTCTAACACAAAATTTCGCCCAAGGATAGCTTCCGACAACAACCAAAATCACACAACTGATTTGGAAAATCAGATACCAATTTGGACCCAAAGCAAAATATGCAAAGAAGATATTTTTCTCTCAAGGCTATGCTAATTCACAGTGCAAGATCATAAGCCTCTATCTTTCTTTGGAGATGATAAGATTTGAAAATTCTAAGCGTCAGAAACGTTGTTACATTTTCGACCAAGCAGAGGGCAGCCAACTCAATACCAAATAATGTCATCAATTCAGCAACAAAGGCGCAAATCATTTACCAACACCATGAAATGACAAAATCTACGGACCAGTTATTCACAAACTAATTGACTATAATTAAATACATTATAGTACTCTGCAATGCTAGCCAGAAGCTACTACCTGGGTCCTTTATACTCTCTCCGACTCTCAATCACAACCCTCTTCCTCATGTCAAAATCAACCTTGTCCAGATCAGCAACTGTTCCAAGATAGCCATAAAAGATCCTCCTTTTTTCTCCAGTCCTCTCATCCACCTTCACAAGACTGGGATTTTTTTCATCGTCCTTGCCGAAGGTCAAGGGCTGTACACGGGACCAACCCTTGCGGCCACGGTTTTCCTCCTCAAAGTATTCAGCAAGCCTGACAGCATCCTTCAGGCCTGACTGATCACCAGCAAACTTGACCACTGTAATACCCAGATGACCTTCTCTACCATACATGGACTTTGACTTGCCACTTCCAAATCCAAGATCTGAAAGCACAAGCATCAGAGTAAAATGAAATACGGCATTATAAATTAACTTGTTCAAACTTTTTAAGTGCATGGTGAAGCTCCTTAGGACTATCATATGTCCAGGGTTGATATACTGATACATTTTTGCAAGATACCAGGAATAATGATATTGATCCCCCAAATAGTCACAGAAAGCATCTTCCAAGATCACCAGTAGACAATTCATACATACAACCATGCTCCAGTTACACACTGTTTTTTCTGCCAACATAAGACCCCCTCAAAAAGTTTTGCTCTCATAGTGGCTGCGGACAAGATGTGGAAACACTCACATGGTGCAAGTCAAAACATAAACAGACTGGCTAAATTATTGGAATCGGTCAACTAAAATAAAGAAACAAGAGGTCAAGAATCCAGTCACTGGCTGGCACCAAACAGTAACACAAAGACATGCACACATCCAGCCATCCACCTATTTCATTCTAGAACTTGAATTCAAATAGGTAAAAAAATAGTTCCCAAAAAGATGAACATAAGAAACAAATTTACCCATAATGAGTAGTACAATGGAATATAACCAAATGACAAGATATACAGTAATCCAGACTCCAAAACTCAAGGTGATCAGATAGAAAACTATATATAACTTAACAGAGTAAATGACAGGTTTGTGAACCACAACAAAGAAGTTTGAAAAATGTAACAAAAGAAAGAGAGTCCTGTCCATAAAGGCCACCTGTAGAATATGACCACATATGCACAGGGATAGACCATGGAAATTCTAGAAAGAATGATCTAAGCATGCAAAGATTTTAATGGGTAATTATCAGTGAGACAGATGCCCACCAAAGGGCTAGTGAACCATATGAAAGAAAACGTACCAGTATAAACAATTTTAAGTTCTTTCTATGATTAATGACTAATTATCCCAAAAATGATCCTTACTACTAATGGTACTTCATAATATTGCCACCAAACAAGAATATAATAAATGGACATTACTCAGGTCTGACCGTGTGCTTATGCGAAACCTTCTTTATGGGCGCATGTCTGTGGTGAATAGTGTGCATGTCTGTGGTGCATGGTGGGCTTTCCCAATGCCCACTCATCCTCCTCCCACCAAAAAAAAATTGTAGAAATTACTCAATTACCAACAAAAAGAAAATACAATACATTCCCTGCCACTCCCGAAGACAAAACAAACTTCTGAATACCATCACTGCTGCAGGCTACTCAAACTCACTCCAAAATTCAATCAAACATACTTGACTTGAGAATTATTATCCGCAAAAATTAATGAACATCATGAAGAAATCATGAGCCTTTAACATTGGAAAAACTTATAGGGCATTTTCTCCTACATTTTGCTAAAGTAGTAAACTAAAATGGATATCATTTGCAGCTGTTCAAGGATCCTTCAAGAAAAGAAAAGCTGAAAATTGTCTATAATGGGAACCTGGCATTCTCTAGTGCCCCACTTTCTCTAAGCATTTTTCCTGAAAACATAAAGGCATGTTGCTGAGATCAAACTCTTTTTGTCCCCTTAAGCATCATCCTAGCATTGTTTCCAGTAAATACATAAACAAAAATCCACAAATCTAAAATCATCAATTCAATTGTTACTAACCAAACAAGACGAAAACTGGTATAGCCTGACTAGCAACACAAAACCCGCAGCTTAACTACTCATGTACAGGTTTAACGTAGACTATGATTAGCAACAGTGCCTGTAACAAGTAACTACCAATACAGGAATATGCATAAGCAATCAAAAACAAGCTAAACTACAATCAACATCATCTAGAAGCTCTCAAGAGAACAAGTATATTTAGAAATATGAAATCCGCCAATCCAACCATGACAAAACTATGGCTCTTCCTCAGACTGCCATATATTCCTCTCAACACAATTAAACAGCAATCATGCATTTTGACAAGTAAATCTCCTAACACCCTCATAACCTTTGTATCGAAGCCAAACAAGACCACCAACATCAAAGCAAAGCTATGAAATGACAAACCAAAAGCAAATGTGACCGGATGGTGATTGGGTCTGACTGCACTATATTTCAAGAGAAAAGTAACTTATCACACATATTTGGATGCTCTCCCTTGGGTATTGATACTTACCACCCTACAATCACAAGAACTTAAATAGCATATACACAAGGACAAAAAATTTTAAAGATGGAATTCAAGAATTTTCAAAATTGATAAAATACTTAACATTAAAAATTGGAACTTTATTTTGAGTACAGAAAAGATGTTCAGAATCAATGCTCTAAAAACTACTATCATTAAACAGTAACACATAAATAGCAAAAAGGCAGAAAAGCTAGAATAGGACGAAGAAGAAATTAAACCATAACATTAATGCAGCAAACAAGTATGTAAATAGAAGTACATAAGATGTAATAGTTTGGGAACAGGTTTCAGGGACATCAAAGTTTTAGAGCTCTAGGCAAAAGGCTGTTCAATGACATAAAACTTTTTATCTTTTTGTAGGAAAATATTGATACTGAGACAGGATAAACTGTATCTTGAACTTGATGCACATAAATTAACCATCAAAGACGCCTATATAACAAATATATCTAAACTCAATGAAATGCTATAAAATAAATAACTATACTCATGTACAAATAACATAGAAGTGTGCATAAATAAACTTTGCATCATGTTATAATAAGCACAAAAGCCAAGTTGGCCTGGAGGCAAGCACAATTAGGTGGAGCCAATCGTGTCAGGGTTTTAAACCCCCTTGCCTACCATTTTAAATAAATTTCACCTACACACTGAATGAGAAGAAGCCAAGCTAGTTTCTTCAAACGAGATGGTTACACCAGGTTATACATCCAATAGGCAGGTCAAAAAGGCTCAAGGATTTTTATCAAAACAGGTCTTTTGATCTGGACTGGAATTAAGACCAATTTGAGGACTATCTGATGCCTAGTCCAGCCCAATTCTAATAGCATTAGGTAAGCATAAACCCATAGAGCAATAATTAGCTAAATCTTTGAGAGAAAATTGCCTCAAGCGTCAGACCCATAGGAGTAGCTTGGCAGGAAGGTTTCTCCTAACTTGATATTAATCCAGCGACAAAATGTGGACCCACTTATAGATCAGATCAAGCAGAACTTTGCCCATCACCAAGTCCATGTCACACAAAAATGCGCAGATCACATCAAGTCACAGACACAAAAAGTAACACTTAAACAATATTGGTTAGAGAGAATTTAGCGCATCAACCCAAGAGGGAGAGAAAACTAAGACCTTAATAAGTGCTATTAAAGGTTCAGGATTGGCCACAGTAACCATTCAAGTGAGAAACAATGAAGGCTAAGCATGAGCATGATCCCACAATTGAGGATAGCATACATTCATGTCATTCTTATTATTAAAAGGATCAAATGAAGACAAAACGAAGGAACCAACGTGCAAATTGCAGTCTCAATTTTCACCAAATTTGATAGTATGAACCCCTCCCTTAGTTATTACTTTGTATGTTAGTCGCTTTAATAGGTTGCTAGATAGATAGCTTCATGAGTTGGAAGAGTCTCAAAATGACCCTACTCAAAGCTTCTCGAGGTCAACAAAGATAGAAAAATTGCACAGCATCCCCAAAAGCTTGTGTTATAACAAAAAGGAATTGGACTAATCTAACAAGGAATCTGACTAAAGACAAACTATAACCAGTCTATGCACTATAAAAACATAATTCAAAACTTATATGGCAAGAAAAGGGGAACTAATTAGATAAAAAGAATTTCCTAAACAAATCACTAACCACAATACAAAACTCCAATAACAATAAAGAACAATGGGACGCATTATACCTCTTAGTTTGCTATCCATTGCTTTGTTTCCCAAACCTTCCATGCGCCCATCTTTACTCTTTCCTGTAATTGTATTATGCACTATCACCACAGGAGGCCACATAATCAAATCCTCTTGGTTTGCAGCTGCTTCGTCTGCAGGTAAGAACCGATAGACCTTTGAATTATCAGGAGGCTTTGAGTAGTTCCATCCCATTAATACACAGAGAGCCTTGTATAAGCCTAAGTGATCCACACGCAAGTCAGCATTATCTGAGTAGTATGTGTGCATTATCAGACCATGCATATCAGGGAAGTCTTTAGAGGACCTGTAATTTTGCATATCAAGCGCATTGAAGAATAACAATTCAGGTTTTCCTCTCAGACATCACATGAATTAGCCTATAAGATTGAACTAGGGCAATGAACAAAAGATATTCACCAGCTTGCAAATAAGTTGAACACATGAAAAAGGCAGAAGTAATGTGCATGGCATAAAGCCAATATATTGGAGACTTTCAGAAAAGTAGACCGTAAGCATCAATTAAAAAACTTGCCCTAAGAGCAAATTTGCACAGTGGATTATAATGAACCTATTCCATATGATAGCATTTCCAAGGAACACTTGCCTTCTTTGTAAATCATTGGAAATCATGGTATCGTCATCACCCAAAATAATCATTTGGCACAGGTTTTAGGGAAGGGGATGGATTGCAGTGTGATGTAAATGGGGCTCCCAAATAAGCACCAATTAAGACATAAACTCAGGATTCAAAAGTCGTACCTTTAACAAAAATCCCGAGAAAAGATAGACAGGCAACATATAATACATAGTTTTTGAAAAACATAAAGCTACAACAGGATGTCAGATCTTAAAATCAGCACAGACCTTACACTACAGACTTGCAACAGTTGAATGAAGACCAAAGTTTCTCTTTGATGCCGGAGAAGAGTATCAAAGAAAAAACAAGCATATGAGGTGAATATTTGGTTCCTCCAATATGAAACATATACTACAATCTTTATACACCAAGATTTTCACTCTCTAATTCATAATAAGAGATAATTTTGAAGTCTCCATGTACAGTGCTATAAGCAATACAAACAGAAAGATGACTCAATAACGTCTCAAAGCATGGAAGCTAAAATCAAAGACAATCCCAATTCTATTTTACAAAAAACAAACATGCTCTACATGCATGCCTGCATGTAGACATGCATGTTAACTTACTAAGCAGAAAAAACAAAGAACACTAAAATACAGATGAGATTACAGCCAAACTCAAACAAATCATTATCACCCAAAGAGCCACACATGGCAAATTAGTCAAGTCACTAGAATAAAAAGAATTCTCAAAAATATAATAGACGAACTGCTGCATGCAAGTTAAAGGCAAGAAAAACCAAGTAATAGACTACTTTCAGTACTTTAACTTACACTTAAGACTTTATATAGGCAGTAGGTCCTTCAGCCATTCAATAGGGAACTTTTAGGCTTTTCATTTCAGTTTTACTCAAAATTCAACTTATATCAACTATCAAATAAATGATTACAATAAATTTCCACTAGCAGGCCAACCTGGCCATGTCATACAGGTAAGAAATTATTAGCACCACGCAGCAGAAAATATTGGCCATAAACAACTAACAAAAAGGCCAAAGGCACTGACCTCTACCAGGAATATCCAGATAGAAGTCTACAATAATCTATGATAATTATAACATGCTCTTATAAAAAAAATATAATTATAATATGCATAATAATGCAATTTGGCTGCAACCTACAATAATCTGTGATAATTACAACATGCTCCTATAAAAAAAAAAAAGATAATAATATGCATTAAAATGCAATTTGGCTGCAACATACAAAATTGTGATAAAAACAACTTGAAAAGGGATCTTTTACCCCCTTGTTTCCCTAAATCAACTGTGCACATGCTCACTACTCAACAACTGTGACAGAGAAACTGCAAATAATCAGAGGCTCATGAACAACAAATGCCAATCCAAAAATTTAATTATGATATGTTATTGAAAAAGAAGGGAAATCTAATACTAAAACACATAACCTAATATTAACAAGCAACCATACAAGACCAATGGAGACCACCAATAGGAAAAAGAAATGCTATAATACAACAATATACCAAGAAATTATCTGCAAGACATATTTACCCTAGCATGGATAAATAAACTAATATAAGTATGTACCACTCTGAACAATGTTGTGTTGAAGCACTACATAGAGAAACAATTATCTGTTACCACCTACCCTTCATTCTGTAAATAGTTATGCCATCAAGTCATTTAAATTCCCAACTATGAAAAATCATCAACACAACAAATTGATGGCAAATTGTGCACCCAATCTTGCTAGCGAAAGAGAGCCACATTTCACTTTTATGATGAACAAGTAGGCTGACTTGGGTGCTTGATAAACAACCTCAAAAGCATTGTCACATGGGAAGCACTGCTCTAAACCAGTTGGTAAATGCAAGCAGCCTAACGGAACTAAGCATGTGCAAAGCAAACAAGCAGAAACATTATAGAAAATCCAAGATTTAAGTTTTAGCTAAATGGTTCAAATAGCAGAACCGTAACCTGAAACCCTAGTAATGTTAGATTGTTGAGAATTAGTCAGGCCACCATGTATAAAAGGAAGACAACTCGGCAGTCAGCATTGCCTCACCACACCAAATTTAACAATTACTTTAAATACTATCCACAAGCCATCTACTTCTTCAGAATTTATTATTAAAACTCAAGGTTAATCATTTATAATAGTGTGTGCTATAAAACATCTAGCAAAAGGAAAACAAGGTCGTTTTCTACACACACATAGCCTGAAACACTAACAGCCAAAAAATATTCTTAATTCTAAACACATAGGCAACAACATCAAACACCCTCTAAGCCAACCATGATTTCAAGTGCAATGTGCCCATGACACAAACCAATGTCACACAAGCCAACTGAACACAAAGTCAAGACAGAAGGCAAGGCATCGACATGCTTATGTCCATATCAACTACTCCGTCTAAACTATTAACAGAGCATCCAACACATACAACACCCTTGCCTCAAACACTAAAATGTTAAACAGGCGACACAAGTAAATCTACCTAGTATTACCACACATTACAGAAGAACCAAAACACCTAACTAGAGTTCTATTTTGCTTTCGAATCATATGCGAGGAAAACAATAACATGGAATTCAAAATGCAAAAGAACATTCAAAAAGTTAATTCCAAGTCAGAACCAAACCTAAACTTATCATCAAACCTGCCACAAGCGAAGCACGGAAGCCGCCCTTGTTTCCCATCCTCCAAGTAGTTCTTTTTCTGCGCCGCATTCTCAAAAACCGCCTTCACAAAGTGCAAAAAGGCCTTCTTTAGGGCGTTTTGATCAACTTCCAAATGCTTATTATTAAACCCCAAATTATTATTTTCAAAACCTCCACCAACTCTCATATATTTGGCCGCTCTCATTTCCTCATTCCGAAACGGGCTACTGGTTCCAGCCAGGCGGTCCGGCCCGCCCGGCCCTGAAGAGTAGACTTTCGCGTTCGGGTGCCCGTGCCTTTGCCTCGCAAATTCTTCCTTCTTCTCCTCTCTTAGATCCTTTTCTTCTTCGCCGTACTTTCTCTTAAACGGGCCGGGTCCGTCGCCCGGCCCATTCCAATAATCACGATTATCGCGGAATCCCAATGGTGGGCTACCGAAGTCGGGAGGTACGAGCAAGGGACGGGTCGGAAATTCCTGGTAATCGGACGGCAGAGCAAAGTAGGAGCGGACACTGCCGTCGTAGAGGACGATTGTCCGACGCTCCAGCATGTGAAATCCGTAAGCCGGTGGCGGCGGAGGGCCAAGGGCGGCGAGGTCGGGGAAGGGGATGGGAGGAAGGGCTGGATTCGGGTCGGATTGGGATTTGTTTTGGGTGGCGGGGCTTGGGGATGGGCCGGTCTTGGGAGAAGGTTTGGGCTTTGTGGAGGATTTGGGGTCGTTAGTGGTGGAGGAGTGGTTTTTGTTGGGGATGGAAGAGGACGATTCCCAGCGAGATTTGCGGTGGTTGGTGAAGGAGGATGGTTGTTTTGGCGGGTTCGGACCAGCCATCCTCGGAAATTCAGTTGAATTTAGGGATTCTGCTTTCGTTTTTCGTTTTTAAGGTTTGGGTGCATTTGGGAGAAGAGAGGATGAAGCTGTTCGAAGATGCAGCTTAGTTTTTGTAGGACCGAACAGGGAAGGATGTTACCCCATTTTTTCTTCTTCTTTTTTTTGGCTTTTAAATATATATATAAAAAAGAAAAAGACAAGATTCTTCATTCTTGTACTATTTTTCTCTCTTCGAAAATAAGTTTAAAAAAAATAATAATTAAGCTCCATTGAAAGCCAATAAATTTAATTTATAACCTAAAATAATCCATTTGATTATTTATATGCTAGTAAAATCATCTGTCTTTGGAAAAAAAAATTAGAAACTAAGTAAAATGGAAATATATATAATTCACATTGAAACAAAATAAAACAATTATTATTATATTACAATTAATGGAATATTGAGTAGGGTACTTTTTTTTTTTTATTCTTCAGAGTTTTGTCCCACTAAATTTTATTATAACAAGGTTTTTAATGAGACTTTCCCAATATGCAATGGGTATGTGTGAATTTAGCATCATGGGAGTATTATGAATTGTGATACTGATGTAGTGATTTCATGAGTTGTGTTTAATGAAATGCACTTCATTTCTAAAAAAACTTCAATTATAGTATAAAATTATATAAAATTTATCAAGTACTTTAAATCAGGGGCAAAGTAAAATGACAAGGTCAACCACCATAGCTTTTGCTGTCCAGGTTAATACTGTAACGACCACGGGCCCATTCCATCTCCTTTGTCCTTTGTATTCTGTCCCGGACACTGAAGATAAGGAGGCCTGGCCTGGGCCTTGAGAACGGTCGTTAAGGCCTGTCAAACTTATTTTCTTCACCCAAGAAGAATAGTAGTAAATTTGGAATAGAACTGCGAAATTAAGTGAAATGACAAACGTATCCCTGAATCTTTGTCCAAAGTCCAAGCTGTTTCCCGTCCTGTCTCCGTTTGTTTGGATAAAAATTGTCTGGGACTGCAACTCTTCAAGAAAGAAGTTAAAGGTGGAGATTGTTGCAGCAGGTAATAGCTTAATGCCATGGAAGTTGCTTGTAATAACTAATTAACTTGTTGAAAATGGGTTTTCTTTGTTACATGTGTTTCTTAACATCTGTGCTGTTGTCCCCCCTGAATTTTACTTGATTGTATTAGCTTTTCCCAGCCAGTTTAATCTTCATTTATTCATAGTTTTGGGGGTTAAGAGATATTGGTACTCATATTTGCATTCCAATATTCAATAAATCAGTCAAATTTGGATAATTATACTTCTCTTTCAAAAGAATATTAGTAAGAATTTGAGAATTTTGGGTTGTTTGCTATGAAGGCGAAAGCTTTGTACAGGCAAAGAGACTGCTGCCATTTTGTAGAATGCAAGGGATATAGGTACTCAAATTGGATAGAGATACAAGAAAGAATGGCTCTTAATGCTGCAGCAAAGATATGTGTCCCTACTGTTTCCAATACAATGGAGACAGTCTCGAGACCTGAAACTGAATGTAAGCAACAATTTTCTAGAACTCTTTTTCCTGGTTTAGTTATATGATTGCTTATTTCTATAGATGTTTCTCATTTTTTAAACTGTTGGCTACTTTCATTGTATTAATAGTTTGTGTTCTTCCTATCTCATATCTTAGGAGTCGAAACCAGATTTATGCATTTCCTTTATATAGTCCTTAAACAGAGCTTTATATGGCTTCCAATCCTGATGAAGTTGTTCTGTTTTTCTGCATATACATAACAGGTAAACTTCAATTCAGGTATCATGTTGTTAATCCATGTAAAGAAGCTTTGTCAAGTCGTCGTCTTGTAATAGCGCGTACCAGCGCATCTTTGTTTACTGTTCTTACCTTCAACTGTGGCTTAACTCCATTGCCAGTATGGGCTGAACCAGATGACCAGAACCAAGACGATCAAGCAGTTGTAGGGGCCATCAAATCGCTGTTTGATCCTAACGAGAAAACAAAGTCTGGAAAAGTGTTGCCCAAGGCTTACTTAAAGTCAGCCAGAGAAGTTGTGAAAACACTGCGTGAATCACTGAAGGAGGATCCGAAGGATATCGTTAAATTTAGACGAACTGCAGATTCTGCAAAAGAATCAATTCGAGACTATTTGAGCAATTGGAAGGGACAAGATAAGGTGGCTCGTGAGGTATGTATCCTTGACTGAATTGTTTTGAAGCACCAGATTGCCTTTGGTCGATTTCACTGATGTTTTTTATAATCCTGTACATCACAGGAATCATACGTCCAGCTGGAGAAAGCAATCAGATCTTTGGCCAGTTTCTACTCGAAGGCAGGTCCATCTGCTCCATTACCGGAAGAGATTAAGAACGAAATATTGAATGATTTAACCACTGCTGAAGAATTTTTGTAGTGCATCAGCATGTCAGAGATGATGTATGAATACACCTCACGAATTCAAACCAGTTGAAATGAGAATGACATCTATTTCAGTTGCTTTCTTTTGATGTTTTAATTCTTTACTTAATAGAAAATTAGCTGTGGAATTCAAATTATACGGACCTAGCATGTGAAATCTTACAAACAGCTGTGGAGAACTAGGCCAAAAAGATTGAGTATATAGGAATAATTGCATGGTCTCCTCCTCGCCATCTCAACTCCTGCACTTTAGGCTGTAGTGACAATGGATTGGGATGGTTTAGACACCGTAGAAGATTAGAAAATCTCAATCCTTAAGTCAGAAGCATTTAGTTAGAGCTAAGAAATAAACGAAAAACACACTGGTGGAATTGTCTTCCCCTGTTGTTGTGATAGACAACTTGAAAAGGGAGTGCATGGGATGAAGGTAACATGGGAATGTCTATATAAGCATGTAATGGGACAAAGAATGTCTTTATAAGGAACAAGTCCGCCTCATGAACAAAGAAGAGCGAAGCTATCAGCACATTGGTTCTTACACCTAAACAGCAAAGTTGAAAATCCTGACTTGAAGTAAGGACTCAGGCCAGCGTAACACCAGTTCCATTGCAAATTAGACAAAGCATTCTTTAACTTCATGACATTCAAAGAAGGGATCCCATTAACATGAGTAGCACATGAAAAATATCAACAGAACCAAAGGAGGACAAAAGGGAAAAAATCAACTGACTAGAGCCCAAATTTATGTAACATTGCATAACAGTTTATTGTTAACAAATAGACTGTTTGGAATAGGTTTTCATGTTCCCAGTGTAGATGAAAGACTCTTTGTACCTCACAGCTTCTACTTCTGAGATGCCCATCACCAGAATAGCACACACTATCAAACTTGATGATTTCCAGCTGTGCTTCACTAAAATGGTGCACTGGTTTAGTGCTCTTAACAGATCTTCACAAGCATAAATGAAAATGAACATCAAGGTGCTATTTTAATAAAGTATGCTCGAAGACAATGGGATCAATGACATCATGTGGCCATCATATGACTTAACCTATCTTCTACGTGACGCTCAAGAACAATCAAGATCGTGATAGAACCCCTTTTGAGCTGCATAGAACAAATGTTTCACAACTTTAGGACGGAAAGCACCTATGAACCACAAAGTGAGATGTGAAAATAAAAATATAAATTAAAGAAACAAGGAGGGAATCCCTTCAAGCAAGAAATTTACTATTGAAATAAATGATATATGATTATGTAATGCAACTACCTTAACTGTTCAAGGTCTCAATAATCAACTTTTGAGGACAAAAATATATATAAGGGAAAAAACCAGCATTTGATAGTTCAATGCAATCTTAATTAAACAGGACAACATCAAACCTTGGTATAGTCCCAAGACGACGTGGATCATACTCTGTTGCCATCCGAAGAGCCCTAGCAAAAGCCTTAAATGTTGCCTCAATAATATGATGTGAATTTTTTCCTGCAAGCTGTACACAGCCAATTTGAAATATTATGTCAAAAACCTCGTGGTCAATATGAAAAGCAATATAACTAAGGCTTTAAGGCTGATTTTGTTAAGCAAGAATAATTCACATATGTGGCTCAAGCTCAACTACCTATGAGAATTTTAAAAAGTACTATGAAAGTGCAGTCAATGTGCTGAAAAGAACTTGTATAAGCATCAATATTAAATAGTAACAAGAGTTCAATTATTTCAAAGAAAGTTAGGATGGTTTAATAAGAATAAATTAAATTTAAGTAGCTCTCAGTATTCCTACCTGTCGTATGTGTAGTGTCATGCCAGAAGTATTCACCAAAGACTGGAAAAAATGCTCCACCAACTGTGAATATTAATGTGTCAGTGAAATCAGCATATAAAATATTTGAAAAAGCAGTATGAAGGAAGTGAACTTAAGAAACCAATCTAAAATGTTAAAACCTGGTTGGCAACTTTCCTCCATAGTCAACCACAAAACTGACATTGTTGGACCAGAACAAAAAAAACAAAGTGGAATACCTGAGTGTCATACGTCCCAACTGTCGCAGTGGGAATGTTCAAATCATAACTTAAATGTGGTCGGCCAGATAAATCCTAGGACAAACAACATAAGATTTAGTATAATATATAAATTTGAAGATTTACTACGAAACATGTATCCTAAAATATTACCTTCAGATAAAGTACAACAATTTGAAAATTAACTTTTCATCAAGCCTTAGGGCTTTGCTAATCCTAACATTTTTGAAGTCCACTGCAGTGTTTTCTTGCAAAGCTAGCAGTTTCAAGAAAATTTTCAGGCATCAAAGCCTATTTGGCTTGATGCATTATCAAGGAAATATCTAGGAATTAAAATACAAATTGATGCTCTTGAGTTTCAATAGTACCATAAGTTCATGCTTAAGAAAAACCATGCATTTCGTACCAGTGAAACATGTATTAATGCTTCATCAAGAGGAGCTGAAAAATCACCAAACCGGTTAATTCCTTTTCTGTCCCCAAGTGCCTGAAGCAATGCCTGAAGAAGACAGACAACTCATAACTTCACAAAGCATGCATAGACAAGGAAATACAAATCAAAATATTGAACCGGCAAAGCAGAAATCAAGCACTGTGACATCCCATTGCATATAAACTAATACATTATTTTGCAGAAAACATTTACAAACATATAATAGGAAAAGCTTCCATGCTCAAATTAATATGAAAAGAGCTAACATTTGTGGTCATTAAGTTGGAGGAGGGAGCAGTTGAAGTCTAGACCTTCTTAGAGTTAATGTGATTAAAATGCAAAAGAGTATAAATTTTCGTTCTTCCTAGATACATTCAGTAATAAAATTCATGTAAATCATAGATTTTTTTTTTTAACAAAAAGAATTCACCGTTCCAAGAGCAAGGGCAACATCTTCATTGGTGTGATGATCATCAATATGAATGTCACCGGTAGCCTTGACGTGCACATCGAACAAACCATGAGACGCTAGTTGCTAAAATAATAAAAAAGCCACCTAAAATCAGTTACCACTTAACTGCTCAGTAGAACAACAAATTCACACCAAAAAGAAAATATATACATATAAACAACCATACATCCAACATATGATCAAGAAAGGGAATGCTAGTACTAGAATTAGCAACCCCAGTGCCATCCAAGTTTATCTTAACCCACACATTCGTCTCTTTCGTCACCCTCTTCACCTCTCCAATCCGACCTAACCAAAAGAAAAAAAAAAGGTCAAACCCCAGACGGAAAAGATAAGATAAAGCGAAAAACAAAAATGATCTTTTTGGTATTTAGGAATTGGGGTTTTTCTTTACCTGCTTCGGATGAAGGGGAAGGGGAAGGGGAAGGGGAAATGGAGGGAGGGGAGCCGTTGTTTTGGGGAAGAGAGGGACAAGAAAGTATTGACTGGGAATTATTATTCATGTGTTTCAAAGTGAAAGGGGAGAGTGAGCGTTGATAAGGGAGAAGAGGGATTAAGAGAGGTCTAAAAGGAATTCTGGACGTGGATTTTATTGCGGCACCTGCAGCGGCGGCGGCGGAGCTGTTTAGGAGGCGAGAAGGAACTGAAAGCTCCATTTGTGGATGCTTTGAGAGGAAAGAGAGTGAGAAGAGAAAACAAAATGTGCATGTCGAGAACAGAGACGACGCCGTATTAATCTTGAATTGTCGCTCTGACCTTTTTAGAGCGAAAATTTAATATTTAAAAAGGCCAAAAATAAAGGACAAGAAAAAAAATTAAAAATTTTGTTATAAAAGAAATAATAGAAACAAGAACAACAGTGATATTGAGAGATGAAAAATAACTGTGATATAAATAAGGGTGGGCTGATTCTCTATTTACAGGTGAAGCCTTTAAAGATCAATAACTATTACAATCTTCTATTAAAATACATCTCTAAATTACATTATCTTTTATTTATAATTAAAGCACTTTATAAATTAATGACTATCACAATCTTGTATTAAGATGCATCTCTAAAATATATTATTTTTTTTTATAAATCTCGTATTATTAGTTAAATAATATTTATATATAAATGAATCTTGAAATATCTAGAATGTGAATAATGTATTTATTATTTATCAAATTTATTTTAATTTGAATTGATCTAATATGGTGTGATATGTTCATATTCCATAACACTCCCCTTGTATGGAACACAAATGTGGTGACCTAATTGGATGTACTATTACTATCTCGTTAAAGGCTTTAAGCTGGAAAAACTTAATAGGACCAAAAAACAAACAAAAAGAAAAAAAAGTACAGTGTACTAAGTGCATAATTGCTTCCCTCAATTGAGCTCTATTGTCACTTCTAGGGTTTATCGCTTCTGGAGTTTACCACTTCTAGGGTAAATTAATACTTTGCCACTCTAAAGGCAAATCAATCTTTCGTCGCATTCCAATACCATATACTAATTTCTCAAATGTCAACATTGGTAATAACTTGATAAAAACATCTACAAGATTATTAGTGGAGCTAATCCGTTTAATATCAACTTGTCAACTTTCTTAGAATTCATGAGTATAAAAAAATTTTGATGGTGTATACTTGGTCTTATTACCTTTAATATATCTTCTCATGACTTGACAATACAAATAGTATTATCTTCATAAATTATGATGGGAGAATTTGTAACTGGTGTTAAACAACAAGAATTATTAATATGCATTATAACAGATCTTAACCAAACACACTCTCTTCTAACTTCACATAAAGCGACAATTTAGTTGAAGGATGTAGCTACTAGTGTTTACCTAGTAAAGCGCCAAGAAATGGCGGTGTCGTTATAACAAAATAAATAACCAGTTTGAGAGCAAGTCTTGTACGGATCAGATTTATATCTTATATCAGCAAATCAAACTAAACCAAAGTTAGTGAAATCCTTGAAATAATATAATCCTAAATCTATGGTACCTCGGAAATAACGGAAGATATGTTTTATCTCATTTCAATGTCTCCAAGTTGGCTCAAAACTAAAACGTGCCAACAAATTTATTGCAAAAGTAATATCTAGTCTCGCACATTGTGCCCAGCACATTAAGGCCCTAATTGCATTGAGATATGGTACTTCAAAATCAAATATCTCCTCATTAAGTTATCTAGGATGAAATGAATCCTTTTAAGAATCAAGGGACCTCATAATTATAAGGGTGCTCAATGGGTGAGCTGTATCTATGTTAAAACGTTTAAGCAATCTCTCAATATATGTTGATTGATGGATAAGTATTCCATTTGCTTTGCACTCAAGCTATAGACCAAGACAAAGTTTGGTTTTACCTAAATCTTTAATTTCAAACTCTTTTTTCGAATATTTAGTAATTTTAGATTACTCTTCTGAAGTTCCAATCAAATTCATATTGTCGATACAAACTGCTACCATAAGGATTTTGGTTTTCGATTTCTTAATAAACACACATAGCAAAATAGGATCTTTCTTGTACTCTTCTTTAATTAGATACTTGCTTAAGCGTTGATACCATATGCGATCAGATTGCTTTAACCCGTATAAAAATTTTTGCAACTTTATTAGAATAAGTTGCGGGGAGTGTATGCTTTAGACATTTTGAATCTCTCAGGAATTTTTATATAAATATTGGAGTCTAATGAGCCATATAGATTTGCCGTCAAAGCATCCATAAGATCATTTTCAGTTTTTAAGAAATAGCTAAGCTAATAACGAAATGAAAGGTAATCATATCCATCACAGATGAATACGTTTCATTATAATCAATCTTAGGTCTCTAAGAGAAGCCTTGAGCTACAAGTTAGGCTTTATACCTCACAACATCATTTTTCTCATTTTGTTTTTAAACAAAGACCCACTTGTATCCAAAAAGCTTTACATTTACAGGTTCGAAAAGCTCTCATTTAGCTAGGGAAGCCAATTTAACCTAGATTGCTTCCTCCCACTTGTGCCAATTTTGCCTTGGACGACATTTAATAATTGATCATGGTTCATAATGATTGTTCACAATCTCATGAGCGATTGAGAGTGGAAAAATTTCATCAAGGATTATCTCATTCCGATCCTAAATCTAATTACAATATGTAATAGAGATCTCAGTATTCCTGATGTGGTAATCTTTTCATGGATTCATGCCTCTTCAAAGGTAATAAGCTCTTTTGGAGTAAGCTTAATGCCTCTTAGGATTCAACCATTCTAATAGTGACACAATACAATTCTATAGTTAAAGCTTCAACTTCTCATGCATGATTTTCTAGCCCATCTTATGTAGATACATTCCTTATTTTGCTTATAAATTGTCTTAAGATGGTATCCATTACGGTGTACATTTTTTAACTTAAGTAGATTTCTCTTTGATCTACTGTTTAACAATGATCCTCGATATGCAATGTGGTGCTATGTGACAGAACAATTGTGACATTTTTAGGGTCATCAATAATCTCAACGAGACTTGATATTATATGGACATTTACCTTACATAATGTCACACTTGAGAAAAAGTGTTTGCGACAAAATATAGTATGTGTCGTTGCACTATCAAGCAAATAAACATCTTTCTTTTTCTTGATGGTTTCCATTTACATTTATATTGACAATCTTTTGGTGATTGTGCTATAAAAAAAATAATAGAAATGGGAAGAAAAGAGAGATATTGAGAGAATACTCTTTAAGTATTACTGAAACAATGTTTGGAATGAAAAATAACTGTGATACAAATAAGAGTGAGATGCTTTTATTTATAGTTGAAACCCTTTACAAATTAATGACTATCACAATCTCCTACTAAGATTTATCTTTAAATTAAATTATCTTCTTGACAAATCTCACATTATTACTTAAATAATATTCATATGTAAATAAATCTTGAAATTACTTAAATAATATTCATATGTAAATAAATCTTGAAATATCTATACTGTAGATAATATATTTATCACCCATGTTTCATAACAAATTTTACTATTTTTACGTATTTAATTATTTTATTTTGGTTTGAATTTATCTTATGCATCTTGTATATTTTGGTTCAAAAGGTTAGTTATTTATCTATTTCTTTTATTTGGAATTTATTCTTATATTATTATTTTCTTTTAAGTGATAATGATCTTTCAATATTTTAACTTAAGCAAAAAGATGTTGTAGTACAATTTTTTTTTTAAAAAAAAAAATTTACTAGCTATGTAATCAAATTTAAAAGTTTAAAAAAAGTGAAATGCTAATTAGATTTCAATGGAGGAAAAAAATTAAATCTTTTTTTAAACTTGTGGTAATTACATAATACAACCAAAAAGTTAAGGATTTCGTTAGGGGCAGCTGTCCCCATTGCAAATCCGACTCTGATCACACACATCATGCTCCTTACGAGAGCGAGAAATACCTTCACCGGGCACATCCAATGCTGATGATTTATTTTCCATCTTTAGTGCACCAGGAGTTGTACTTTTACCAGAGATTAATGATTTCTCAGAGGATGCAAACTCCGCTGACTTGTCCCCACACTCCGACTCTGCATGTGTTGTTTCCTCAACTGAGACTCCAACTTCAACTTCATCAGAAACAGCTACATTATCAACTGCTTCAACAAGTTTCGTATGGCTTCCTTTAGAAGACTCGATGTTATCTTCATCCAGCCAATCTGATGCTATTTTCTCTTCCATCGCTAGAGTGCCCTGACTTCCATCAGAAACAACAAGAGATTTTCCAACAGCAGATTCACCTAGTTTGTCCCCTGATCGAGAATTGGTACAAATAGTCTCTTCCACTGTGAGCTTAGTTTTCACATCAGAAGCAGCACCAACATTGTAACCTGCATGGGCAGCATCCCAATCACCTTCTTCACAGGACTGAGCATTTTTATCGATAAGGGAGTCTGATACTGTTTTATTTCCCATGTCTATTGCACTATAGTCCATAGAGGAGGTATCAGGATTTTTTATGTCAGAAGCAGATTCAGCTGTCTTGTCCCCTGACCTTGAATCAGTGCACATGGTCCCATCCTCAGAGGCTGGAACTTTAGATTCAACAATAACACCTACTGCACAGGTATCATCCATACCCTCTGTACAAGACAGAGTATTATCTTCGGCAAGAGAATCCTGTCCTGCCTTGTAATCCACCTCAAGTGCATCACGGCTTGAGCTCGTGTTAACATCACATTTGATATCTGACGCAGATTCATTCCTCTTCTCCCCTGTTTGATAATTAGTATGGGTAGTTTCCTCAACTGAAACAGAAACATTAGGTTCCAGGGATGCATCCAAGGAACCACTAGTTCCACAAGTATCATTGATAGAAACGTTTGGACATTGGGAATCTGAATCTGCAGCGACAATTTCACCATTTATCCTACTAGTATGATGCAAACCACCATCATCACATTCTTGATGATCATGCCCAGATGAGGAACCGGGGTTCGATTCGTTAGCCACTTCCGGTGTCATACACTGGTTAGATCCTGATTCAGTTTGCTTCGCACCTACAGGGACAAATTTGAGAAGTTAAAGCACAGTAAATAAACACGAGAAAACAATGGCAACAATTGCATTAACTAAAACCTGTGACAGCAGTCGAGTTTGCCTTAGTGTTTTCTTGCGCGAATAGAAGCTTCTGCAACATATCTATACCAGGGAAGACCAGCATATTCATGAACCTCATTTCCTGCTTA